AGCAGACCTACACTAAAAGAATGCTAAAGGAATTTTTTAAATATAAGGAAAATGAAAAATGAAGGAAATTTGGAAAATTCGGAAAGGAAGATAGAACACTGGGAAATGTTATAATATGGTAAATACAGTGTATTTTCTTCTCCTCTGGAGTTTTCTAATTTATGTTTGATGGTTGAAGCTAAAATCATAAAACTGATGTGTTTCTAAATACATGTATAGGGAATATTTAAAAATTATAAACAGAGGAGAATAAAGGAACATAAAGGGAGATAAGGTTTCTATCCTTCACTGAAACTGAAGTCTACTGGACATTGTACCATCTGGTACACCGTCAATACCAGTAGACTGTACGTTAGGTATGTATATAAAGTAATACACAGAGCAAGCACTAGAAAATCTGTACAAAGGGATATCCTGAGAAGTACTACAGAAAAATCAAAATAGGATGCTAAATATTATTCAGGTAATGCATAGCAAGTCAGTAAAAATCAGAGAGAACAAACAAAACCACAGGTGAAATGACAGACTGAAGTCACAGCATATCAATAATTACACAAATATAAATAATCTAAATATACCAATTAAAAGAAATTGGCAGAGTGAATTTAAAAAACTCAATCCAACTATATACTTGCTATGAGAAACTCACTTCAAATGTAATAATGTATACAGATTAAAAGGGAAAGGTTAAAGGAATATGTATTATTAAAATATTAATCAAAATAAAGCATAAGTAGCTATGTCACATAAAGTAGACTTTAGAGCACAGAAAATTACCGAGAGACAAAGATAATACATAATGGTCAATCCACCAAGAAGATAAATGTATATGAATTAAACAATAGAGCAAAATATGTGAAGGCAAAACTAATAGAACTGTAAGAAGAAATAGACAAATCCAAAGTTATCATTGCAGACTTCAAGACTCCTCTCTCAGTTGATAGAACAGCTAAACAGAAAAATCAGCTATGACATGGGAAAACTCCACACTATTATCAAATACTAGATCTATCAAGATTTGTAGACTACTCCACCCAACAACAAAGTACACACTCTTTTCAAGTGTCCATAAAACATTTGCTAAGATGGAACATATCCTGGGCCATAAAATAACCTCAAGAAATTTT